GCTCCATCCCAATATTATAACTGATACTAAAACATAATAATATGGTTCTAAGAAATGCAGAAGCACAATCATAAACAGTAAATCTAGACTTACATGAAACAGTTCTGGCCCTCCTCTGTAAATTTAATTGATATAAACCTAAAACTTACAGTTATCAAAATATTTGAGGTTTTCAGGTGAGGAGAATCAGCACTATAATGCAAGTTGGTAAGCCACAAATGAAATATGCAATTCTGTACAAGTGCTTGGCGGCATCTCAGCCCCTGAACCTTCCCTTCGTCAACTTCAAAAAGACTGATTTCTCACCATTCAATCCTGTCCTTGCAATATAATCTTTTTTCACTGATCTTTCCTCTCTTCTCTGCCCTCTAAAAGATTTTGTAAACTGGAGTTCAGGGTTTCTCTCTTTTTATGTTTAGCACAGTGCTGGGTAAGGCTAAAGAGCCAAGGTTTCAAAGTGTCCCCACATCTATCTTTCTAGCCCAAATTCTCTCTCCAGGACTTGGGCTTATATATCCAGTCATTGTACTTAAGCTATAGGGACCCACGGAGTCACTAGGCTGGGCCAAGAAACCAGCAGAGAAACACAGTAAATCCTCCTGGAACATCTTATAGGTAAAGTGTGGGGGAAACTCATATTTTATATCCATATAAATATGAACTGACTTCAGAATAGAAAATTCATATGAATTTTTAGATAAAAACTAAAGACTTCAAATAAGATTACTCATAAAAAATAAGATTACTCTTGGCTGGGGGGTGGGTGAGTATATCATCATTAAGATATTTTGATAGAAAAGTCTGAGAAGCTTGGTATCATTATTATTTTTTTAAGATTTATGTATTTATTCATGATACACAGAGAGAGAGAGAGAGGGGGGCAGAGACACAGGCAGAGGGAGAAGCAGGCTCCATGCCGGGAGCCCAATGTGGGACTCGATCCCTGGACTTGGGGATCACGCCCTGAGCGAAAGGCAGCCGCTCAACCACTGAGCCACCCAGGCGTCCCATTGGTATTATGCTAAATAAATCTACCTTATAAGTATGGGTTAGCACTTTTGTGTGTGAATAATGAAGCAGAAGTGAAAGGGGGTTTAATAATAGGAATGGCCACAGACAAATTATGGAGTGGGTCAAGTTTATCCTCCGTTACCACTATCATCACCAGGAAAACCTCTCAGACCTTGGCCTACGCTCTTGAAGAGTCTGACTTCTTTCTTAACCTCCGTCCTCACTAAGATCATTCTGTCTTTTCTTCATCAATATGCTCTTCTGCATTCCACGTCCTTAAGACATTACTATGTGTGTAAAGAGACAATCGTTTAGTACTGAAGATAAAAATCAAATTAAAGTGGTAGCCATCTAACGTAATTTTATGCAACATCACTTTGGACATATCTGTCATTAGGTGAATTCTTCTCGGCATTTACACTGTACCAGAGAATGTGCAAAGTGATGAGAATGCTTTTCTCTCTTCAGTTTTTAAGATTCCTAAACTATTTTTAATAGCATGCAAAATCTAGTGCCATATTCTGCACAGAGTGCTCAGCAGTGACATGGTTCTTTCTCGACACAGGCATCAAACTCAGAAAGGGTAAAGGAGACAAGAAGAGATGAAGCAAAATGTGAAGGATACCAGAATAGGAAGTAATCAAATTAGTCTGAATCTAGCATTTCAAAATTACTGTGATTTCAGTCATATTTTTCATAGTGCTGGAAACCTGAACAACTTGGGAGTCGCTACTATGTGCTTTCGTCTCTGAAAAGTTAGCAAAGTCACCCAGCAACCAATAACGTATTTATCTGATGGCAATATATCTAACAGAAAATGCTGTGTCTTCACTCCCAGGAAAAAATCTAACAAGTCCTCAGAACACATGTGAGTTTTCTTCTTAAAGAAAATATCCCCATCTTCTTTCCTGCTACCACAGTTAAGTGAATTTAAAATGCATTCACATTCTGCATGATGCTAACACAACCTTGTCATATGTATCATCGCCTTCTTTTTACAGATGAGGGGACAAGTTCTGAGAGGTTAAGTGAGTCAGTGTTGTACAGCTATCGGCAGGATCCCGATTTCCAAGTCCCTAGATGGCTTTCCAGGATTCCTCTACGCCTAGGCAGTCAAGATCCAAGCAGGAGACAGAAATAACACAATAACTGAAACAAGGAAAAGCTAATATGAGGAATTATTAGCTGGTGAAAAGGGAGTGACTACTAGGAGAGGAGACCACCAACAAACACAGTAGTGGTGCAGGGGGCCACCAGGACCTCCGGGCCGTGACAAAGTACCCCACAGCTCAGGGAGTAAACTAGAAGAACCCTTCTCCCCATTCCTCTCCTCTGTGCTACCAAGCTAGTGAGTCAGACCGTATTGGAGATAATGTGGCTGTGGCCCAACTAATGGTAAACGAAATCCATTGAAGCGTCACAGATTGGGTTGGTGAGGAAACCACCAGCTGAGGTGTTGGTGAAACTTGCTAGGAATCCACCCACTGGGACGCCAGCAAGGCTTACTGGGAAGCCACACACTGGGGAACTAGCCAAACTTCCTGAAAGTAGTGAAAACACTGGTCTCTTGCACACCACTGGCCAGAAAGCCCCTCACTGAGCAGGCCACAAGAAGAAAAGCACTGGTACCAAGAAGAGGCCTTTGTCTTTTTACGCAATGTCCCTCCAGCACCTTCTACTGACACACCCGAACACTGGGCCAACGGAGAACAAAGCAATGTTTATAGGTTCTAGCTCTAAATATCACAATTCAGGGCAGAGAAGATGAATAAGGAACTGAGAGGCACTGAATTGTTGGCCTGTACCTCAGTGACTCTCCTCAGCTGTTGAGGGGGAAATGCTTTTATGCCAAACTCCGAGTCCATTTCCCCCCTTAATTACTCTTAAAATAAACTGCAGACCCGACCTCTGGGGACACTATGGACTGATCACTGGTATGACACATGGTAAGTGCATGAGGAGAGCACAATGCAGTGAATGAGATGACGTCTGAAGCCAAAACACTTGGGTGTTAATATTAGCTCCAGCACTGACTAAATTTGAGGTCTTGCAAAAGTTAATCTCTGTATGCCTCAGTCTCCTTATCTGTAAAAGGGGATGATCAATAATACCTACTTTATTAGGACGTTGGGAGAAGCAAATGTAAAGCCTATAGTACGACACTTGGCACGTGGTTAGAACTTGATAAATATTAGTATTTACCCATACGTGTCAGTTTGCAATTGGTGTTTGAAAATACATATTCAGTCTTCATTTTTAATTTCCATGTAGGTCTGTATCTCCTAATGCTAAACCCCAACTTGTTTGGGTGAGACTGGGCCATGTTCCCCAAAGTCTTGCCCCTTCCTGGGCATTGCCTTCAGCTCTGATTTCAGACCCTGACACTGCCCTGGCTCGCTGAATAATCCTCATCAGCAGGAGCCAACTCACTGTGGATCCATCTTCCCAAGGGGGGGGGGGGGGACACAGGTTTAAATAATTCATCTTTCTTTAAAATCTTTTCCAGTTACGACTAAATTCAATACCCGTTTTCCCCAAATAGTGAGTTATACTTGAGAGAAAAAGAGGAAGGAAATCACTATTTTGGGTGCCTCCCCACCTGTGCCAGGCAGCACTTTGTGTGCATTACCTGATTGATCCTCATCGCAGTCCTATCAGCTTAGTACTTTTAATCCTATTTCGCAAATAAGGAAACTGAGGCTCAGAAAGGTCAAGTAGTCAGGTCAAGATCACACTCTAGTTACCCAGCAAAGCCTGAATCCAAATCTGGTCTGTTTGGGTGGCCTGCACGCACGTTCTCAACGGCACTTGCCTCCCACTCTCCTCATCCCAGACATCAAAGACCTGAACTGCTCGGTGCTTTTCAAGCTTTGCTCTAAAGAGAAGAGTGGGCGTGCAACTTTTTTTTTTTTTCTTTCTTTCTTTCTCAAACGTATCATTTTGAAATAAAGCAAATGAAATTCATTTACCAGTTCCTGGAATTTTAAAACTCACTAACATCCTATTTAAGATGAGTGAAAATGAGCATCACCTTGGCGCCCTGGTCCTCGCCTCTCCGCCGGCTGCAGACGCGGTGGGGCCGGGGCCGGTGGGGCCGGAGCGGGTGGGCCCGGGGCCCCGGCGCGGTGCGGAGCTCGCGCAGAGCCCCTGGTGCCCGGGGCCGACCCGCGTGGGCCTCCTCCTGCGGCAGCGGCCCGAGCCCGCGAGCCCGCCCCCCGCCCCCCCCCCCCCCCCGGGATGCGCTGCCCCGACCCCCGCCCCTCGCCCCGGGAGTCCGGCGAGGAGCGCGGCGGGGGGGGGGGGGCGGAGGCGGAGGCGACGCCCGCCCGGCGCGTCCCGGGCGCGCCCCGCCCGCCTGCGCGGCCCTCCCCGGGGCACCTCGCGGGTCGGGGCGTCCGGGCGCCCGCGCAGCCCCGCGGCCTCCCCGCGGCCTCCCGGCGGCCGGTCCCCACCCCGCGCCGCCTCCTCCCGTAGGCTGCCCGCGGCCCAGCCTGCCTCTCTCTCCGCCTTCACTACCGGGTCAAGCTGCGGAGGGAGGGAGCGAGCCCGGCGAGCCCCCCCGCGGCCCCACTAGTGCACACTCACTCACACTCGCGCGCACACGCACACGCGCCCCGGACCTCGCCGCGGCCACTGCGGCTGCCGCGGGCCCCGGCCCCCCCCCCCCGCCCGCCGCGCGCAGGAGCGGCCCCGGCCCCGCGCCCCCCCCCGCCCCCGCCCCCCGCCCGCCGCGCCGCTCCCGCTCGCCCAGCCCGCCGCCGCCGCCGCCGCCGCCGCCGCCGCGCTCCTCCGCTGCGGGGCCACAGCCCCGAGTGTCATTCCAGGGACAGCAGCCCCGGCCGAGCCGCCCCCGCCCCGCCCCCGCCCCCGGCCCCGGCCCCGGCCCCGGCCCCGGCCCGCCGTCCCCGCCTCCGCCCCCGCAGCATCCACGCTCCGTCCCGAGACGAGGGGACGCGCCGGGCAGAGGGGCAGGAAGGCAAAGTCTGATCCTCGCCGCGCGGCGCCCCGGCTCCCCCGGGCTCCCCGCCCGCCTCCCCCTGCCCCGCAGCAGCCCCTCGGGAGCCGAGGCCGCCCACCCCACTGCCATGTCCAAAAGCTTGAAAAAGAAAAGCCACTGGACGAGCAAAGTCCATGAGAGTGTCATTGGCAGGAACCCGGAGGGCCAGCTGGGCTTCGAACTGAAGGGGGGCGCCGAGAACGGGCAGTTCCCCTACCTGGGGGAGGTGAAGCCCGGCAAGGTGGCCTACGAGAGCGGCAGCAAGCTGGCGTCGGAGGAGCTGCTGCTGGAGGTGAACGAGACCCCCGTGGCGGGGCTCACCATCCGGGACGTGCTGGCCGTCATCAAGCACTGCAAGGACCCCCTCCGCCTCAAGTGTGTCAAGCAAGGTGAGCGCGGCCGCCCGAGCGCGCGGGGGGCGGGAGGGGGGCGACGGCGGGGCCGGCGGGGGGCGCCCCGGGGCGGGAGGGAGCACGACGGCGGGGCCGGCGGGGGGGGGGGCGCCCCGGGGCGGGTAGGGGGCGACGGCGGGGTCGGCGGGGGGCGCCCCGGAGCGGGAGGGAGCACGACGGCGGGGCCGGGGGGGGGGGCGCCCCGGGGCGGGTAGGGGGCGACTGCGGGGTCGGCGGGGGGCGCCCCGGAGCGGGAGGGAGCACGACGGCGGGGCCGGGGGGGGGGGGCGCCCCGGGGCGGGAGGGAGCAGACGACGGGGCCGGCGGGGGGCGCCCCGGAGCGGGAGGGAGCACGACGGCGGGGCCGGGGGGGGGCGCCCCGGGGCGGGAGGGAGCACGACGACGGGGCCGGCGGGGGGCGCCCCGGAGCGGGAGGGAGCACGACGGCGGGGCCGGCGGGGGGCGCCCCGGGGCGGGAGGGAGCAGACGACGGGGCCGGCGGGGGGCGCCCCGGGGCGCGGGGGGCGCACGGGCAGCCGCGCTCTGCAAGGCGCTCGGCCTGCGGGACCCCGGCGGCGCCCGCGAGCTCCGGGGGCGCCTGGCTGCGCGTCGGGGCTCGGCCCGCGGTGCACGGGAGCCTCGGGGCGGGCGCAGGCGCTGCCCGGGGCGCCCTCGGGGCGGCTGGGAGACGGCCAGGGCAGGGGCGCGGCGCGCGGGGGCTCGCCCGGCTCTCCGCGAACTTTTCCCGGTCGGCCCGTGTCCCCCCCCCCCCGCGCATCATGTGGGCACCGCGCGTCACGTGCGCCCTGACTAACGGGCGCTCCCGGCCGGCGGCCGCAGAAGGCTCGAGAAGGCGGGCGCCCCGGAGAGGAGCGGGGGGCGGGGGCCGGCGCCCCGGCCTGGGTCCCCGGGCCTCCCCGGAGGTCGTGCCGGGCCGCGGCCGCCGCAGCTTGCAGGGCTCCGATGGGCTCGGCTCTGCAGAAGAGCAAGTAGGTCCCGGCGGAGGGCGGCCCCGGGCCCGCGAGGCCCCCCGCCCCGAGCCCGCACGTGCACCCGGTCCGGCCCCCCCCGCCCGCGCCCCCGCCCGCGCCCCCGCCCCCGCCCCCGGGCCTGCGCGCAGCCCGCCCGGACCCGGCGACCACCCCAGGACACCCTCCTGGGGGACCGTCCGCTCCATGACGTCCGTTTAAAAAGTCAACGAGGGAAAAAGAAGTCTCGGGCAAAATTTCTAAAGTGCAAATTGCCGCACAGGACAGCGGCCTCACTGGGCTGCCGGGGCTGCCGGCCGCCCGCCCGCTCCAGGCCCGCGGAGCTCACAGCTGCGCGCACGAGCATCTCGGAGTTTGGGAGGAAGGCAGGCTCTTCTCTCGCTACCGTGCCGAGGCTCGGAGGGATGCGTGTGAACCTATTTGGTGTCATGATGCTGTGTTAGGGCGGTAGTTCCCAGGGTAGAGTCCTTCCTGACCGCGCCTTGCCTGGCAGCAGCTCAGCATTTGGATGGGTCGGTGGCAGCGGCAGGCGGTGCGCTGTGAGACCCCACTAATGACAGCATCCTAATGAGGTGACGGCCCCACTGCCACTGGCGGTGGTGGCCACATTTTAGTGTTGTCTTCTTTCTGAGCACCGCATGGTGAGGAGGACCCCGGCAAACTGACTCTAGCAGCAGCAAGAATGTGTCCAAAAAAAGAAAGAGAGGCAGGTCAATCGGTATCACAGATCTATTCCATATAGGAAGGCTTGGAAAAGTGAGGGCATGAAAGCTATCATTATATATGGAAAGGCTAGCAAATAAGGAAAGGAATTTTGACTATCCGGTGAAAACTTCCACAGGGCAAAAGTAAGATAAATTCATAGAAATTTGTAAAGCATGAAACAAACGTCTTTGTTTACATGAAAAATATGAGCTTTCTAAAAAAAGAGAAAGATGAAGGATAAGAAGATGAGCTTTCTAACGTAACTTTCCAAAAATCTTGGGCTATATTGTGAATTCATGAGCTCCCTGTCATTTGGGGTCTTTATGAAGAGGCCAACATGACCAGATGCCATGAGTCCTATGTAGGATGGGGCCTGGACTAGATGTTATTTAAATCTTGCAATGATTTGATCCAAGGTACTCTCTGATCACTCAACTTCTATATAATATTTTATTTGAAAGATCATCGCTTTTAGAACTCAGGGAACATACAAATATAAAGTGATATATATAGGGTATATAGGGAAAAATCTCTCTCCTTTCTGTATTCACTCTCAGTTCTGGGCTTCACTTGGTCATTGATGATTGATGCAAGTCATGATGTTCAGAGTCCCCGGGAACCTGATTCACGTCCTGAGTCATTATTGATCAAAAAAGAAAAAAAAAAGTGCTTTCCTTAACTTTCGTGGAAAAATATAATCTTCTTGTATATTCTTCTAAATATGATGATTCATACATGCTATTCCTTTATTGAAATCATTCTTTTCCTTGCCAAACAACATATAGGTTTATTTTATTGATCATAGTAAGCAAAGCAAAATTTCCATACTGTTAGATAATGGTGCCTGTGTCTCTTGGGTTTTACCTCAGATTTCACTTCCTACTTAGACAATTTAGAAGCTCTTGATTCAGTATTTTTATTTATAATGAGTCAATAAACTAGCATAGCTGAAAAACTTAAACAGGGTCTGTGAAGAAGTTGTAGTTTTAAAGTATGAATGGGATAATTGATTTCTGAATACTCATTTAAACATTGTGAATTATGCAAAAGCTACATTCATAATCAGGTAAACTAAGGCAGATTTTCCAAAGAAAGGGAAACGTTTAAATAACAAGAATATTGATAAGAAGTGTACCAGATAAAATTGCACTATTTACCCTATTTTTATTTACTTGTTTGGCTAATTTGACATTATAGTTGAAATTATTTTATTTCATTTTTACTTTTATTTATTTTTTCTATCAGCACCGTGTTTTTTTTATTTTTGAAGATTTTATTAAGTTTTGTATTTTAATTCTCGTACGGTTAATACACGGTGTTATATTAGTTTCAGGTATACAATACAGTGATTTAACACTTCTATTATTTTATTCTATTAACAATTCTATTTATTATTATTAAATTTTCATAATTTTAAATTATCACGATTTTAAAGGAAGCGAACTAGTAGGATTTTAAGATCTACTAGACAAAGTAGATGTATCATAATTTTCCTACATCATTTACATGTCCTTAAAACCATTTTTAAAACCATTTGAATGAATTCAAGGGATTCCATTTTTAATTTAAGCTGCTTTTAATCCACACAGTGATGAAAAATACCATTTATCGTCACATCCAATTATTTTTTATAAACTCTGGCTTTTTAGTTTATAATGCTCTTCTCACCAAAGCATTTAATTCTAGGTTAGCAGTTCTGTTCCACAATCTCATTAATGCAGCAGAACCAGTTGAAGGAAGTGTCTTGAAGTGATTTTGAGATCTGTGCTGAAGTGGTAAAGGTTTCTTTTCTTTTCTTTTCTTTTCTTTTCTTTTCTTTTCTTTTCTTTTCTTTTCTTTTCTTTTCTTTTCTCTTTTCTCTTTTCTCTTTTCTTTTCTTTCTTTTCTCTTCTTTCTTCTTTCTTCTTTCTTTTCTTCTTTCCTTCTTTTTTCAAGTTTGCCACTAAAGTTCACAGCAGCCAGTTACATAGACCATTGTGTCCTACATTTCTTGCACTGTGGCTGCTACTGCATCTAATCCTACATGGAGACCTACATAGCCTGGACTTATTTTCCCATTTAGGATCTTACAATGGAAAGTAAAAGGCAAAAAGTTTTCTAATTCTTCCCATGTGGAAGAAGGGCCAAACAAGGCCTTTGAAATTCAGTTCTAGAGATGTACATTGCTTTCCCTCCTATTGCTCCTTTCAAAGCCGTTTTCAAAGGAAAGTAGATCCACATTTATTAAGAGTCATGCTTTCTTCTTGACTGACTTCAGGCTAGTATCATACAGTTAAACCTCTATGCTGCTTTTTATTTGGAAAGGTAAAAGCAAATTATGTCAAATTTTCTCCAATAAAGATTGACTTTCCTCCGTAAAAATTTAAGGTATGTGGATTTTATTTACCAATAAACAATCAAATTGTTAGAACAATTTGATTAGTTGGTTATTTTAGAATAAAGTATCTTCAATGTTTTAGAACCAGGTTAATGAGATAGTTGTTATCTTTGGGCATAATTTATGGATGGTGCTACTATAGTTTTTGGTGTATGTACGTAATTTAAATGGTATGACCTTGAATGTTAAATATGACTGCTTTTTTATGTGTGTCTTTTGAATGAGAGTAATCTCAGGATGAAATCACAGCTGAAGTATTTAAGTGCCACAGCCTCAGCTCTTAACATTTATACTGTGTGATCTTTTGGCATATTTATTATGCTCGCTTTCCTTTTTAGTTTCTTGAAACTCACACATTCACTCTCATAATTAGCAAAAAGTTTTCACATTTGACAACCCCAACTGCTTATAGTTTAAACGGTGGCTTTCAAACGCATAGCAGACCTTGCTTAAATCATTTCCCGCTAGAGGTAGGATAGAACAGTGGGTGTTTAACCTCTGCCTGGGTTTGAATCTTGAGTATGCCACTTAGCATGGGCTATTTACACAAGTTATCTAGACTGACGTAGCACCGGTACCTTGAAAATATTAAGTAAATAATGTATTTATATAAGATAGTGCCTGGCTGATAATAGACCTTAGGTAAGTATTGTTCCAAATAATTGTTATTCCAGACATATTGGTCATTTTGAGCTGGTGACATATGAAATGTTTTTAACTTTAAAAGTATTTTACTCTTTATTGAAGACTAACTGAAATATATGCAATGATTGCCTAATTTTCATGTACTATTCTTGAAAGAGTAAAGTAGTAACGAGTAAAGTTTCTATTCTTGAGAGAGTAGAGTAAAATACATTCTTTTCTATGTAGAGCATTAATGTGACTAGAACGCCGTTAAGTGGAATGGAACATATTTTTACCTTTTA